AGGACCAGGAACACTGAAGCACGACCCGACACAGGACTGAGCTCATGGCCATGGTTTTCAAGAGTGATTCTAGACACCCACAACTCCAGCTCAAGTTAATGGAGCTGTGGAAGTTAGTCGTTCCCTAAAATGAGGCCCCTTCTCTTGTTATACTACGTAATATTTCTAATCAAGTATGTAGTTCTGCTGTGCATCATTGTGTTTGACTGCCTGGTGTAATACTTATTAATTTAGACAGTAGATAGAACTTGATTGTCAAGGTGCAATGCTACCCTGAAAGAGAAGCTCTGTCTGTGGAATACATCACCATGAGATGTGCCATTCTTCCCATATTGAAACCTGTTGCTTGGCAGTATTTTAATCCACTCTTTGATATTATTAAAATTATGCTTTTATCATATCTCCAGTCTTCTGTTATTTTTTCCTTCCCCTCCTACCTTCTTTTGAAATGTTTTCTGGGTGAAATTCATCATTGCATAGATCATCACTACCAGAAACATGATATGAGTGGCACTGGGGCCACTGATAAGAGGAGAAGAACATGGGTTTAGTGCTCAAGATCAGAAAAATATATTCAATTTTGCAGCTGAAGTGCATATTGCCTCCACACTGAATCATCATAATACTTGGCTTTCTGCATCTCTGCCAAGAAACTATTCTCCAGGCTGGAAGCACTTTGTAATCTAACAGAATGGCGGGGTACCTAATCTAGCATGTAATAATATTTGTTTTAAGGAATCCTGTTATGATTCATGCTCTGAGTAACTGACCTGGAGCTGCAGGGTGCAAGGAAAGTTTTACATACTTTTACCATCAAATCCCTGCTTGAATGCTTGGATTTGTGAAGGAAAACATGAACGGCAGCAGAAGTCTCAAAAGGGGTATACACACAGCTTTTTGTGACAGAGAGCAAAACTGTTTGATCTGTTTACTTGCTATTTACTACATAAATACTGTGTATTTTAGGACTCCTTATAAAAGCCTGGCTGTCTTTACTGTCCTGTCTGCAGCCCTACAGAATTAAAAAAAAAAGCTCATGTCAAGAAAAGAAGTGTGCTAACATAAAATAAATATAGAAATCCTCGCAAGTAAATGATTTTTGCTAAATTAAGGACCTGAGATTTAAACCAGATTTGCAACAGCCGCTGCAGCTACTGAAATGATAGATTTTGGGGAAGAATTGAAGAGATTCTCGTATTGGGGAGGTCTGAGGCATTCAAATAATTCCAATAATTCTGTTGTAGCTAGTTAAATTGTCCCCGATAGTTAAATTGTTCCCAGTTTTTAAATTGCTTATGGTTTATGTACCAGTCTAGTCTCATCCTGGCCTCAGATGAAAAGCCTTCCTCAAAGTTTCTTTCATCTCAAAGACCTGTGGATCGTTTGAATGCCTCATCCTATTACGCTTAAGCCTCTGAAGTCACCATTAGGATGATACAAATTTCAGTTCTTGTAGGTAATTTGTCAGCTCTTGGGCAATTTGGTAGCTCACCAGCCTGTCATGGGAGCACTCTGTTGTTACGCAAAGGGTTTTTAATTGAGTGTGTGGAATGCGAAACTCCATTTCTGATCCATAAGCCAGAGCAGTTACGTCCTGGTTCACCAGCCTTAAGAATCCCAAAAAGCAAAATCCAAAGGCTCTCAACTTTTTGGGTGAACTCTAGGTGCTAATTAGACTAAACTGGCAGAATATCAATGAAAATATTTCGTTGTTAATGAGGCTGTTAATGAGTCTGTTTCTGAAATATTATATACCCTCCAAGAGAAGCTGTTTATGTTCCTAGAGGGAAGAATGAGGAAAAGTTAGCATTCCTTGGCTATCTCAGTCTACAGATGAAAAGGAAATCAATTCTCCAGGAGACTGACTGTTTTCACCTACTATAAGGAAATAATTTCTTAAAACGTGTAACAAGATGACAGTTAATATGTTGGATAGTAGAGATTTTGAGGAAAGGGAAGAAAAAGCCTCTCTCCTTCTTTTATAGAAAAATAGAGGAGAATTTTCTTATGGAGGATCATAAATATATGTAGAGTTATAGGATTTTACAGAAGATGAAGGTATGGCTTTATATTTTTAATCAATTATGAAAATTTTTAATAAAATAATTAGTTTCTGAAGGTGTTTACCTTGAATTAGTTTGTGAAGTCCTTTGAGTGATCTTGACTCACACACTTTGAAATTAGGTTATTAGCCAGGTGATGCTGAGATCTTGTCACGTATGTTGAACATTAGGTAGCATGAAACTTTGCATATTTGAGCCATTAGTGAAAAAGCTCTTCTGAACTTTGAAGTCCTTTGTTCTTCTGAAGACCAAGACCAACCTTTGTATAAACACACTCTTCATTTAGAGTTAATTCATATCTCTTGGTGAGGGATGGTGGTGCTAAGAGGAGAGATTTGATCCCTGCTTTTTCCATACTTTCCATCTGTGCAAGTATTTCCAGCAGGTTGGAGCAGAGCCAGGGCAGGCCGCAGAGGTGAAAAAAATCATGTAATGATAAACGTAATGGAGAACTGCTGGGCGTAACTCCGATTGATGCAGTAGTTTGGCTCAGGCAGATCCCTGCCTCTAAGAACCAATACTTGAAAACAATCTTTAACATGCACGTTCTTACTTCATTTTATGTGAAAATAGCTGCACATCTGAGCAACTTACTGAGATTTCAGGTTGGAATAATGGTGGTTCCTCAGATGAGAGACTACACAGAAATCATATCGATAATTAGAGGCAGTTAATAAAAGTCACAAAGCAATAAGATCTTGTAATCAAACGCTTTCATTAAAATTGTGATTGTTTGACTTTAGCATGGGAAATGAAGCCAAGATTTATGATTGGGTAAAGAAATGCAGTCTTATATGTTTTTGTATTAGCAGTATTCATGCAAACTGGAAAAACTGTGGGTTAGCCCAAGCAATTTTAGAACGTGTTTTATTGTCTCTGGTCAGCAGTTCTCGCCAGTCTTAATTTTCTTTAACCTTTGCAGTCCTCCTGGAAATTTGGTGCTCTTCTCAGCTGTATGCTTGTGTGGGATTGAAATAGTGCAGAAGTGCAAAATTTGGGAATACCTATTATACAGCTTGTCTTGTGGTAAAGCTGAGTCCTTGAAATGGAAATGCTTGTGAATCGAGCCCAGGCCCCCAGCTCAGACCTAAATGATTATTCACCTAAAGGAGTGAAGTCTTGAATAAAGACGAAGCATCACATACACTCCCCTTAAGCAGTGTCTTGATGACTAAAACGAAGCGTAAAATGTACATTGGCCTTAGGAGGGAACATAATTACTGCTGTAATTCAAACGAGTCGCCACAGTCTTCCAAGCAATTAAGTGGGTGCACATTGGTGAAGATGAAAGCTTTGTCTATCCTGGAATGTGAATGTAATAAGGGGAGGGGAAAAAATAGAGCAATTCTGAAAGAGATTTTGAAAGGAAAAAAAAAATAGGGTTGATCAGCTTGGGGGATTTTGCATGCAAAAATAGGGATCATTAAATAATTTCGTGCATAATATATGTCTCTGGTCTGCAGGCAGTCTGGAAGACGGTATAAAAACCTATACAACACAGGACTCTTCCATCCACTTCTCTTGCCTTATTCGCCCAGGTGAACAGGTAAGTCTGAATTTACCCAGTCTCTTTTTAAATGCTAAACTGTTACTTTGATGACTGCTTTTTTTGTTGTTTTGTTTTTTTGTTATTCTTAGTTCTTTATAAATATTGCTAGCTGGTTTTGCTTTTGGGAAGGAAAATTAGAAAGGTTTACTTCTACCAAAAAGAAAGGCTTTATTGACTTGTGAAGCAGGGTGTAATGAGACAGGACTTAGAGGACACTGGCAATATTGTCTCTTGAAGCAAGTAGCTTAGTGCTCCATTTTAGAGGCCAATGCTAAGGGAGTAGCTTGCCAATGAACATGGTTAGAAATATAGTCTCATCTTGAGAAACTGGGACTAGTAAAAAAAAAAAAAAATGTGCTGAGTGTCAGGCTCTATCCCCGAGTCCTGTTTTACACAGGCAGAAGAGCGGGGATCTGAAGAGCAGCAGACTCTAATACATTGAATTCAAATCAAGGCAGAAAACTCTGATTGGGAAAATAATCCTTCTTTGCACTCCAACTTTGCCTGTTCTGGTCATATGACATTTGGGAGCAAAGGATGTTTCTCAAACACTTTTCTGTAGCTCTGCAAAAGCTGCTGGCTGGGCTGTTAGCAACTAAGTTCTAGCAGTGAGACACTAAATCCAGTTACGTGCTGATGTTCAGCTCAGGGCCACATTCACTGCCTGATGAGAGCTCCAGCTGCTGCTCTCCATCCCCTGGTACAGTCACAACCTTACCTTCTCCCGAGGGACTGTAACAAAGGGAAACTACCAAAGAATGGGAAATTCCTTTGCCAATGTGGGTTAGGGCAAACTGCACCATGCCTGGCACCACAGTTCAGAGGCCAGCTGCAGAGTGGAGACATCCTCATAAAAACCAAGAGAAATCTCTATGCTATTTTCAGACTGCCTACTGTGGATCTTGGTCTAATACATCATAGAATCATAGAATGGTTAGAGTTGGAAGGGACCCTAAAGATCAGCTTATTCCAACGACCCTGCCCTGGGCAGGGACACCTCCCACCAGCCCAGGTTGCCCCAAGCCCCGTCCAACCTGGCCTTGAAGACCTTCAGGGATGAGGCAGCCACAGCTTCTTGGGGCAACCTGGGCTGGTGTCTCACCACCCTCACAGGCAACAATTTCCTCCTGATATTTCATCTAAATCTGCCCTCTTTCAGTGTAAAACCATTACTCCTTGTCCTATCCCATTATCCCTCATCCTATCTGACCACCTACTCTTTCACATATGTTATCCTCTTACTTGATTTTTATAAACTTCATAGGGCTTTTATATTGTATTTACTTTCTTCCCTGTATTCCAGACTTCCCTCTGTCCTACAGCCATGTCTTCCTACGACCTGTGTCCTCCCACCCCCTGCAGCCCAACCCCGCTGGCAAATAGCTGCAACGAGCCCTGTGTCAGGCAGTGCCAGGACTCGACGTACGTGATCCAGCCCTCTCCTGTGGTGGTGACCCTGCCCGGACCCATCCTCAGCTCCTTCCCACAGAACACCGCTGTGGGTTCCTCCACCTCCGCAGCCGTGGGCAGCAACCTCAGCTCTGAGGGAGTGCCCATCTCCTCCGGCAGCTCCCTGGGGTTTGGGAGCTTTGGCTACCCAGGCCTGGGCAGCAGCTACAGCCGGCCCTACCGGCGCTACAACACCTACCGCAGTGGCTTTGGTGAGCCGTGCTAAAGCGTGAGGAGCAAGCAGGAAGAAAGGATACGGAATGCTGAAGCACGACCCGACACAGGACTGAGCTCATGGCCATGGTTTTCAGGGCTGATGATAGACACCCACAACTCCACCTGAATTTGTTGGAGCTGTGGGAGCTCAGTGTCTCCTAAAATCAGGCCTTTGCTTGTCTTATTCTTTGAATACTTCATACTTCTGATGAAATTTATTTTTTTTTTCTATTGCTGTGGATGGGATTTTATTGTCTCATTTCACAGGAGCCCTGAGAAAAGAAACCCAGGATGGAAAGACACATTAGCCGTTGTCTTACTGAATCCTAGAAATACGTACTTATACTTTGTACTTTTTTATTCTGCTTTTTGCTCTCATTAAAGTCACGCAGCATCCCAATCCCGGTCTCCTGGTGTTTGAATATTTTCAGCAGCTGACTTTTTGTAAAATTTCACACTGTTCCTCTGTGCTGTTAATTGAAAGCTGCATTTTCACGCTGCCTAGAAACAAGGATTTGGCTGGTGACCTCTTATGTTAAGAAATCATTTTACAGCCGCAAAACTTTGGGAATGTTGTTATAAAGTATCTAACCTGTATATGCAAAGTAGAGGATGTTTGTGGAAATGAACTAGATACATCGTAGCAAAGAAGATGCTCTATATACACAGAGTTGATACTTTGTATATAAGTGCTATAGATTTGCTACATTTCCTTTCCCAGGTCTGCCTTTAATCACGAGAATAAGATCACACAGTTAAAAGTGCTTGTTACCAAATTCCTCTTCTTCGTCAGAAAACATTTCTGATGGCCGTGGTGTGTGCAAAGCGGGACCCTGAAGAGAAATGACCACAGGGAGTTTTGGGGCAGATGCTCTAAGAGGAGATCTGCTCCCCCTGCAAAATTTTATTGAGTGTTTTTTTTGTAATTAATGCCAAGCTGTCTAAGGTTGCTCAAATGTAGATTTGTAAGTCATGTAAACCAAGGTCCTGGAGCCTCTGGGTGGATCTTCATGGGCTGCTGCTGAAATGGTTGGCCTTGGCAGAGGTACTTGTGCGCGCTGGCTGGTTTCAGGCATCCGTGCAGTTAAACAAGAGGCTGAATTTTCACCCCACGCAAAAGTCTATAATTTCAGAGTTTATTTTGAGTATGAAAACCCTTCTCTTCTTACTGGGATGGAAAGGCTTGAAACGAATGTGTCTTAGTCCTGGGTTTCCAGCTGCAAACATGTAGGCTGTGATTTTTTCCTTCCTAAATAACTAATGGAAGTAGATGTAAAATTGGGGAATTGGCACGTAATTGCAGCAATACGCAGGTGAGCGATACCTCATGTCACCGTTGGCAGAAAGAAACAACGCTTTGTGAAAAGGGTTTGTACCGATGCTTCTGGGCAATCCCTTGCCCTGAGGTGCTGGGTTGCAAGTGCGCATTCATCAACCTTGGTGGCACCAAGGCATCCTTCTGCTAGGAAGGTGGATCTGACACGTAGGGCCATGGGTAGAGAAATACTAATTGCACCCTTACAATTGGGAATATAATTAAAATCTGCATTTGAAAAATTATTCAAACATATTTAAAAAATAACTAAAGCCCACCCATTTTGGGTGTGGTGTTTTGCAGAGGTTCTGGTGAGTAAATAATTTCTTCGCTCCAGGGTAGATTAATTTTTGTTGTTGTTTTCTTCTACTGTTCCCCATTGAATTTCAGCACAACAACTGCACTGCACCTGGCCCTTTGCAGACATACTCCGCAGCTCTGCATGCAGTAGTTACATTTATTTTTTGACAAAAAAAGGGAAATTGTAACATAAATTGTTTAAGCTTATTAGACCACAGTAAGATGCCAAACCAAACCTCAAACTTTAGTCATTTTTAAGTTCTTCATAACAGTATTTGAATAACATTAACAATGAAAATAGCTATGGTAAGGTATGAACTTTGAGGACTCCATATCTACTGATGGTTGAATGCCTTTGCCTTCAGGGAGCTATTTGAGTGGCAGAAGCTGAAGTTGTGAACCTCAAGTCACAGGTTCTGCCTGCACCAAAAGGCAACTTCAATTTCACATGCAGCGTGTGCTGCTCAGCTGCCAGGGCCAAACAACTAATTACAGCCAATAATTAGTGGTGGGCTGCAATAGAACCAGCAATGCCATGCAGAGGCATGCGGTCTGACTGAACCAAACAACCTGAAACTATAGATACATCTTATTTTTTTTTTTAAGCAGTAAGCCAGAAATTGCTAATAACATGAGGGCACAAGCAGAGCCCAGTGGACTGGAACCAGGTGTCCTAATTATTGTGTGAACTTCAGAGATGGTGTAGGACACTCAGGCTGTTGCTAACACTGTCAATAAGCATCTACAGTAGAACAATTATCTACAAATGAGGTCTGAGAGAAAAGCAAGAACTACCAAAGTTGGTATGAAAGGTGAGGCGAGGGAATAGCACAGGAGGGCTCTGAGTTGCAAGAACTTTCAGAGATTTGTTCGACAGCCCAAAGCCTCTGAGGCATCCATTTCTTTATAATGAGCTAATTAATTGCCATTCAAAATTTCTTGCAGGTGGCACTCTTCTTGCTAGGGAAAATTCCATTTACTGTGACCCCATGCACAGTTTTTTGGGGTCATTTCTGTGCCTGGAACAGTGACGTGGGGATTACTGTGAGTAATCTTCTGGGTCTGTTTTGATTAAGGATTTTTTCTCAGACATTTAGTCACTCACAGGTGTCTTGGGTGGATGTTCTCATGTTATGCAAAAAATGTTAATTATAATCTGAATATATAGGTCTGTCCTTGATTATACAAAAAAAGCTGTGACCTTCTGGTTCACTCACTTTAATTCATCTCAAAGATCAGGCTGCTAAGTCATTCTGACTGTACAATAAAGTGGCTGGAGTCAGAACAATAATTATTGTAATTATTTTCACAGAAGCCTGTAGACATCTTGGAAAGTATTGCTAAATTCTTTTTTTCCTTTTTTTTTTTCTAAACTCACATTATTATTTTAAAAGTATTTTGTGCTTTCCAAGCACAGCTTGGATGAAGGAAGAATAAAAAAATGTTGATGAAAACAATCTATGGATACTGTCATGCAAATTAATTCCTTGAATAGCTGCTATAGAGGAAACTATTTTTGAAAAAGCCTGTTAATCCATTAGAATATGGGCAAGTACTGAGGAATGGACAGGGAGGGTGAAGCTAAAAAAGGCTAGGGCAATTTATTTTAGAATGTCATTGAAATATGAGCTGGCTTAAACCAAACCTTGAGCTGTTTTTAAAATTAAAAATAAAACAGCTGTAATTCCTGCAGCCAGGAACAATGGCATAGATTTTAGAACCCAATGACTGACCTGCGCACCCAAATCTTAATAATATATTATTACAGAAGTGATATGAGAATTCAAATATGGGTGACCTATCTTAAATTTGTGCATAATGTGATACTTTGCATGCCTAGCACTTTAATAAAAGCTTCTGATAAACTTTGAAGTTCTCAGGAACCTATGACCAAGCCAAACAAGTTTCTGTTCCCAGGGGATCTTCACAAAGACACTCCTAATTTAGAGGAGATTTACATGTCTCAGTAATTAAAGTGCTAGGAGAGCAAAACACTCGGTACTAATCTCTGTGTCTAGGATTGTTTATGCATTTTACCCCTTTACTCTTTATCCTGCAAGCCCCCCTCTTAGAAGAGGCTCAATGTCATTGCGCAATCCAAAGATGGTTGTAAAGTGACAGCAAGTAAAGAGATTATTGACACTTTATATACTTCTGACACTTCTCCAGCTGGCTACTGTTGATCTATAACACGTCTGTACCAGATGCTGCAGGGACAGCTGGGGAGATGAATACACAATAATAAAGGAAGAATTCTTGTACGTGATTTCTTCTGCCTCCCCAGCTGAGTTTTGCAAAGCCTTATCATTTGCAGAACTCTTCCTTGAGAACAAATGTCACCAAGCGATGCAACGTAGTTATGCATGTGGAAGCTGACCTAAAACCAGTTGCTGATGTTTTGAGGCCTGAGATAAGGATAAAAGTGGATTTGTGGATTCTTTAGACAAAGAACTCCTAAGAGATCAGGCCCAGAATTAGAGACAACCAAGAAAGATCCTGTATTAATAAGACTTGGCCTTCAAACTCTTCCACAGAAGTGCTATTGTTTGATGTTATCTTGTTAGACTGGACATCTAATAGTCTCTCTTTTTTTTTTTTTTTTTCTTTTTCCACGTCAAAGAAGCAGTATCAAATGTTGTTCTATATCTCAGCCTTTGTACACAGCCATAACACTTTTCAGTTCCTCCCAACTCTCACAGGGTTCTTCACTGTTCTTCTCTTTTAACTTTTTAAGCAGCATTTGTGCTGCTTCTCTCATCTGGGGGCTGGAGTGGGGTGAAAATTATGTGTGTATTCCTGGCTATTTTCTGAAAAAAAAAAAAAAAAGAAAAAAAAAAAATCAGTCTCTCTTCTCTTTTCCCTACGAGCAGCTTGAATCCCCAAACTACAAGTGCTCATGGGTTGAATTCCAAAACTGAAATTCTTTGTGATTTCCAACAGTATTTACCTTGCAGAGTAAGGTACAAGGGACCGCATTATGTAAATTATGCTTAATCTCCTTTAATGACACCAGGCAGATCCAAAAGGGTTTTGAAAGCAGAATAAATTCTTCTGAATTAATCATTCTAGTGTTCCCAGAAATTAACTTGGCCCAGAATATTTTAAGATGAAAGAGACTTGTGGTCAGATAGACATGCCACAAGATAAGGAAGTGAAGCAGTAATAAACACAAATACTGAGGCAAAAAAACCATGTAATCAGTAGTGGCTCATAAATAACTTCATGCACAAAGAATGTCCCAAGTTGTTGGGCAACTTGGGACTTGGTATAAAAACCTGAGCAACTCAAGGCTCCTCCATCCATTTCTCTTACCTTCTTTGCTTTGGTGAATAAGGTAAGTCTGAACCCATTTATTCTCTCTCTATTTGTTGAACTCTTGCCTTGCTGATTTTGTAGCTTTTCCTCATTAATGTTGGAGTACATTCAGCTTTTTCCTCTGAGGGGGGAAGGGGTTTTCATATGAAAGAGGAAGTTTTCTGTATGCGGTCAGTTTTGAAAATCAGTGAACGGGGCAATTAGCCACAAGTTAGCCAGTTAGGTCTGTTTATTCAACAGTGGAATCCAAGCAAGTTTTCAGGTCATGCAGCTGAGCATAAAATATCTGTAGTGAATTCTTGGGTCTGTTCAGAGTAGTGTGTTGGTCTGTGGAAAATTCAGCTAAGGCCAGAAGATCAGAAGAACACGGGGATACTGGCCAAAACTGGCAGTCCTGCATCACCGGCTCTCCACATAGAGAGCACTCATCAGTCCATGCCTGCTTTGAAACGCAATTCATAGTTCCTCCACAGGCAAGGAGTGACCTTTGACCAGTTGCTTCTGTATCCTCCAAACAGCTATCGACAGAGTTGCACTGTAGCTTCTGAGATTGGCTGCTGATTTTAATATAGCAATACACAAAAAGAGAAGGGTTCCTGAATTCAACTGCCTGTCCTTCCATTTCTTACTGAACAGATTTTTATGTGCTTAAGCTTCTATTTCCCGCTTTCTAAAACTGGGAGAAGGAACCACCAAGATGGAACATGCATGCGAGGAAGCGAATGAAATGGGAAAGGTTATTTGCTGTACTAGCGTTAGGTAGGAAGTTTGTCATCATGGACTGTTTAGCAAAGAGGCAAGCCTTGGACCAGGAATAATGAGCTGAATCTTACCTGTTCCAGCAGAGCACCTTCATCTGAAGGCTACAGAGTCAAGATCCATTTCTCTAGGACACACAGAATCCTAATAGTTTTCCTGTGTGCAGCCACAACTGCACGGGGAGGTGTTGAAAATGCCTTTTCCTGAGGGTAGTGTTACAGCCATGTGGTTAGGGCACTCTCTGTAATGGGAACGAAGAGATTTTCAGCACCGGTATGTGCCATGGTTCCTGGGTGAGTTGACTAAGCATGGAGGCTTTAGGGTAAGTGCCTGACTGAGATGCATCAGTGCTACCTTCCCTATAGTCTCCTTACAGAAAATGCAAGCTCGACCCTGTTTTCGAAGTACTTCCTCTGGATCTGGTGAGAAATGTCATCTTGCTCCCCGCGGATCTCTTGTTAGTTTGTTGTGTACTCCCTTTTATCAGAGAATTTCAGCTGTACAAAAAGAGTTGTACTTAAATTCTTGTATTGCATTTCTTTCTTCTTTTGTGTTTCAGACTTCCCTCCACCCCACAGACATGTCCTGCTACGACCTGTGTCCTCCCACCCCCTGTGGCCCAACCCCGCTGGCAAATAGCTGCAACGAGCCCTGTGTCAGGCAGTGCCAGGACTCGACAGTGGTGATCCAGCCCTCTCCCGTGGTGGTGACCCTGCCAGGACCCATCCTCAGCTCCTTCCCCCAGAACACCGCTGTGGGATCCTCAGCATCCGCGGCTGTCGGGACCGCGCTCAGTGCTGGAGGGGTCCCCATCTCCTCTGGCAGCTCCTTGGGATTTGGGAGCTTTGGCTACCCAGGCCTGGGCAGCAGGTACAGCCGGGCCAACACCTACCGCAGTGGCTTCTATGGGCCGTGCTAAAGCGTGAGGAGCAAGCAGGAAGGACCAGGAACACTGAAGCACGACCCGACACAGGACTGAGCTCATGGCCATGGTTTTCAAGAGTGATGGTAGACACCCACAATCTGAAGTAGATGGAGCTGTGGGAGCTTGGCATCTCCTAAAATCAGGCCTTTGCTTGTCTTACTTTTATGCTTTATATTTCTGATCAAATGTCTTGTTCTTTCATGCTTCTTTTTTTTTTTTTTTGTATTTGACAATGACTAGGTAAAATATGTAATTATTAGAAATTATTCTGCATGACTGAATTAGTACAGTCCTCTTAAACAATGAAGAAGGAAGATCTCATTTTGCTGAGTGTGTCATTGTGAGAGGGATGAGTGGGTACTGTCCTTAGACTTTATGTTGCTTCCTTCCATTCCTCAGCCTCATTAAATTTGTGCTGCATCATACTCTGAGTCTGCCTGTACTTCTTTCTTCTCCCGGCCCCTTTTCTAGCTTGTCTGTGGCGAAACAGGTCCCTTTGCAAGTCATCAGTTCCAGAAAACACTGTGCACATAACTTCATGCCAACTGTCAATGGAGAATGAGGCAGATTTCAGTTGTGGAAAAAGTTTTTCTTTTGTCTATACATGGTAAATCCAACCTGAGACCATTTATCAAAAGAAAGAGATGATGTTCACCTGCAATGGGTGCATCTCCTATTGAGGCATAAGCAGAAAATCTGAAAGTAAGGGAGCTGCTTCTCTTTACACTTTAAACACCCTTTACCTACTGCACCACAGAGGTGAGAAAAGGCCCTTTAACTGTTTTAATATTGCTCTTTTATGAGAAAATGTTTTGAGGTGGATGTCTTTGAGGAGGGATGAGAATGGAGCAATAAGGTGATGTGAGAAGGGGAATTAGGTCCCCTTCATTGAGAAGCAGAATAGCCTGATTTCAGGGGAAAGCTCGCTGAGGGGAACACTGTTTCTCTTTGTCCTTCTGTAGATGTAGTGGACAAGAGTATCTACATATAAAAGAGGACAGAGAGACATAGCAGGAAAATCCACAGGGGTACGAGGACTGCTAGAAATAATAAGAAAAATCCTTTTCTGAAGCGCCACCTCCACTTATCTGTTCTCAGCTTGCTGCAAAAATTGGATACATGTGCTGCTACCTGGGCAACCTGAAAGAAGGTTGTGGCTTGCTTTACCCCATCTGTGATATTTTGGAAGACCCCTTTAAAAGAAGGGAGAGGTGATGTTTTTCCTGAGCGCAGCTGAGCTGGCTCAGAGCAGAGGTGGTGGGAAGGAGACAACAAACTGGTGCAGCCCAGAGCTTTCTGAAGAATGCAGAACCTCTTAGCAGCTGAGACCAGGTTCTGGTAAGTCTTGGAGGGGAGGGAGAGAAGGCTTTGTGGTGTTGTTGCAAGGAAATTGGCCTTTAAAATTTGCTGCCCTGGGAAGCACGTCTAGGAGAAATACATTAAAAGATTTTTAAGTTCTAACCCTTTCTCAGTGTGTCTTTATAACTTGACTCATACCTGTTGTACTTAGTAGATGTGAATTTTATCAGGCTTTGCTTTGTTCTTGTTTGATCATTTGTGTTGCAATAAAGGTGGTGTTTAGAGACTGGGAGCTTTGGTCTCTAAAGGAAGAAGGTTTGCAAAGTTCTACCTGATGACTCTGGGTGATTCAGTGTCCTGCCATCCCATAGAACTCACAGCCTGATATCTGTCAAATTTCTTGCTTGGAGTATTTTTCTGTGTCTGTACAGACTGATGCTGAACCATAATTAAAGCCAGGGAAAGATGTTGACAAAGTTATGTTGACTACAGTTATTAGTGGAGTTAAATTAAAGCAGGTACATCAGTTCCATGAGAGAATTAATAATTTTAAGCAGCAGGTTTTATTAACACACAACAGAAGAGAATGGAAAGTTAGCAGTTTGCTATTATAATACAGCAGACGGTTGGTCTGAATTAAACCTGTAATATATTTTTTGGCCATCTCAACTAAAGCTGTTGCTTGATCAAAGGGGGTGCATTCCAAAGCAGTCATCATTCATTTGCAATTGTTGCAAAATAGCTTTCTCCTATGGAGTTCAACACACAGCAGAGAAGATACGAGTCCACAGTATTGATGTGGTTGGAAAGAGTTATGGCTGAGGCACTACAGTGAAGGTGTCTTTAACACATTCAGGTGGACAGATAATGACATTTCTCATGACAAAGTACACTTTCCTACTCTTGCAATCCCCTTCTGCAGTTCTCTGTTAAGATTTCTTCTAGTAAAATGCACCAAAGCCCTCCTCAGAGGTGCATGTATGCCTTCCTCTGTGCATATATGCTCTTTCCGAAGTTGAGATCTTTCCCTCAAGCATTCAGAAATCATAGCAGAAAGGTCTAACAAAACCCAAACAAAATCCTCAAGCATCATTTGCCCCCTTTGTTCCTGTCCCAAACTGCCACCTTTGGATTAAAACTTATCGTAGCATCGAGTATAGCACAGTCCCAAAGTAAAAGGTTTCTTTGTTTGGTTTTGTAGTTGATCAGAAAGTGTTTTATTCATTGCTGCAGAATATAATATGGATGACCATGTTACAGAGAATTTTTCTAGGAAAGACGAGCTCGGGCGCTGCCTGCCAAGTTGTTATTGTGTTTGCTTTGGAAATGTTACACCGTGGTTTATGCAATCAGGCAGCATGTGTGCAATAACACATAGTACTAGACAATAAAAAGCAGCATAAAACCCAGCGCACAGTAGAGCACATGTGCTCTGAACAAAAGAGCTGTCTGTGTCATCTTCTCTTTCTTAATTTATAAACTTGCATCTGTTAACATCCATCACTGAATAGCTGGAACAAGTTGGTCCCATAGAAAAAAGAATAACGTGAGCTGTTTTTGCAGAACACCAAGTATTTGCTACTGCTGTCGGTGAAAAACTATTTCAATACCACATTTTGTAAAGCTGAAAACAGAATTGGAGTGTCTGCTGTGCATACAGGGACAAGAGAAGAGACAGGAAGGCTCTGAAGAGCAAGAGCTTTTATAGCTTTCTCAGGCTGCCTGGAGGATCTGAGACATTCTTGCACATTTACTGACCAGTTCCTGCGGGTTTATTTGTTTGAGGGTATTTTTTTGGTTTGTTTTTTTGGGTTTTTTTTTCTGCATATGGCTGGGTTCCCACTAGTGAAATTGTTTTGTTTACTGTTTATGTTTATTGCCTGGACTTCTCCTGGCGCTGGATGAAAACCGCGATCCGTGGTGTCTCTTTCATCTTTCTGATTTGCATCCATTAAATATTCCTGGCTCCATTATACCGACTCCACCTTCCCAAAATGTGGATGAGTCAAAACTCAATTTGGTTAGGAATTTTGTCTGCTCTTTAGCGTTTTGGTCACACTGGCCCATAGGAGTCCCACCTGCTCTCACAGCAAGAGCTTTTAATTTAAGTCCTGAGTATGCAATTTCATCCCTGATAAGTGACTGTGAGATTTAGGATCATTACTCTGCAATATTCCAACAAGCAGTATCCCAAAGCTTTCACGTCCTGGGATGAGGGAGACTGCGTCAGCCAGGCTAACCTGACACAGGATCACCTTCAGGAGAGGACTTGTGATCCTTTTTCTCATCACTGTGCCTTTTGATGAGTTTGTTTTCAAAACCACACGCTTCTCTTACAGGCAATAGATAGTTATTGCTATAGGGGAATATGGTTTTTAACATTTTGATACACTGCAGTAGTGTGCCTCTGTGTGTGTGCATGGGTCAGAGCATCGGGGAAAGACTGGTGAGTCTCAAGGGACAGGAGACCTTCAGTCTGTGGTGTCACTGATGGGCCTCATCACATACCTAAGGACACCCAGTGACTGCTGAACAGAGTTTTTAACACGTGATTTTCTGCAAATACTTACTTGTATTTTAAGTAAGAAATGTAAGGACTCCAATTTATGACACCATATAATGTGAGGAAGTTTGTGAAATTCATTAGTAATCCCAGTCACAAATTTCAAACGCTGATTGTGTTCAAATAGTGTCACCTACCTTCACATTTTCTGATAATGTGTTATTTGCCTGTCTGAGCCATTGATGAAAATGTGTTGTGAACTTTGAAGCCTTTTGTTCTTCTAAAGTGTACAATCAGCATTTACTTCCCAGGAGATCCTCATGAAGATACTCACAGTTCAGAGATAATTTGCATGTCTCTACCTCAGTGCTTTAAACATTAGGAGAGGAGAGCTTGGAATACGGATCCCCTCCCTAAAGTCTGCTTAGGCATTGTATGCAATTACTTTTTAATCTAGAAATTGTCTTTGAAAAAGAAATTGAATTGTTGCACACTGCAATGTTCTTTAAGACCATGCAAAATGAAGACAACATTATTTGCTTTCAAAAGAGGAAAAAAGAACAAGAATATGATAAACTTCTGTAAGTAGCTACCATTAATCTGGAGTATAATTTTGTGTAATAGTGCAAGACACAGTAGGGGGAAATAATAATTTAATGGCAAATGTAAAGCTCTTTGGCGACTTTAATGACCCCATAGGTAAGCTTGTGCAGGACTTTTGAGTCCCAGCATCTCTGACTAGCCTAAAATTCACATACATTATCAATCGGACCTGAATTGTTTTCCTGGAATTTGAGGTAGGAAGAAAGCTAAAACTGCAGACTCCTTAGATCACAGACTTTGACACTCAGTTCCCAAATTGAAGATCTGTGTCTCAAATTCCTTCATGGAAGTGTAGTAGTTTAATATTAAAATGAATAGATCAGACTGCTGATACCCTTTCATCCTGTCTCCTGAGTCAAGAAAGTAAAACAATATGGTCCCTCAAATATATCTATTTCCCAGTAAGTGCCTTTGAGACTGGTGAAGTGAAATCAGTCCTGCAAAGTGCTTTCTGCAGCAGTATTATTTTCTGAATTTGGCTGTCTGTCTGTTTAAGAGAAATTTGGAAAAACCACAGTCCAATTTAGAGTCAGAAATAGTAACTTCTGGCTTTTTCAGAGTGAGATGTGTCCAAAACTCATGCTCTCCA